GGCCCAATTAGCATGTTTTAAGCTCATTTGCATGATTTTCTAACTTAAAATCATTTTTCTCAAATTAACCTAACTAAGAACCCTAATCCTAACTTTAAAAATTAATTCAATTAAACACAAAATTAGGATTCCAAAATTACAATTAACATAAAATAATGCTTCCTTATAGTGTAGGTGAGATTAAATTAACTAGATAGCTCCGATTAAACCATAAAAAGTTGGATTGCTTGAGAAATTCTTCTTTCCCCTTTTACCCTCTAAATTTCGGCCAAGACACCTACTTTTCCTCCTTGGAATTTTTGATCTTCTAGCTTGAATTATATACTTTATTAGATGATCTAAGGTGTTTGGAAGTGTTTAGATGAGATTTCAAGAGGATGTTTATGGAATATTTGCAAGAGTTTGCCTTGAATTTTTCAATTTTCCAACCATTTTTTTCATTTTTCCTACCTCCCATATTTATAGGTGAAATTAGTTATACTTTTTCCCTTGGTTGACTCCATCTCAACCCTTCATTTGGTTTAATCTTAGCCCTTAATTTTGATTTTAATCCTAGCCCTTTAATTGGTTTCATCTTAGTCATTCATTCTTCTTCTTTTTTTTTAATTTTTATCCTTCCATCTAACCATCCTCTTTAATCAGTAACCCCCCATTTTTGCATGCATTAATTACACCCAAATAATTGGGGTGAAAGTGGCAGCAAAAGAGGAGAAAATATCTTCCAAAATTTGCTTAATTTAAGTCCCTTAAGTTGTTAATCTTTCCTTCAATTATTCAATTGATCACTTTAGGTCCTTCCTTTAAAGGTTTTCTAACAAATTTTTAATTCCTATAGTTCATTTCTAATTTAATTTGAAATTTTAAACTTTTAATTTTATACAATTAGGTCCCGAATTTTATACAATTAGGTCCCTAATTCAATAAAATTCATTACACATCCAAAAATCAATTTCTTTTCATAATAAATTCAAACATATTCTATAAGAATTTATTCATCATTCACATAATTTTTATACACTTATTTAGGCCCTCTAATTAATTATTTTGTCTAGTACTACTCTTATTTCCACAGAAAATATTCCCTATGCATAGAAAAATTCATTTAAGTTCACTAAATATTCCCACACATCCTAAATGATTTTTTTATATCCATAGGATAATTTTCATACACCTCTAAAGCACTTAAAATGATTAATTTACTTAAAAAACATTATTCATGCACTCGTAAAGTTTAAATAAAATAATCATCGAATATCAAAAAAATCATCCAATGGCATTGAATAATCTAGCACCCCTCTAGCAAATATTCTATACAACAGAATATTTTTCAAGCACATTTAAAATACCCAAAAAAATTATTTTGCATAAAAGGTTACTATTCATGCATTGAAAAATTAGTAAAATATTCACTAAGTATGAAAAAATTATCTTAACTATTCTGAATATTCTTACAGCCCGTTAGTGATTATTCCATTCCCACAAAAATATTTGTAGATACCTTTAACATTCTTAAACTTATTTAATTACTTTTTTTAACAGGTATTACTTTTGGGATATGATAAAAGTTTATGCCTATCGATACACCGTCAAATGAATTATCAATCAATCAAGTGATTAGGAATTAGAGTGGCCAAAAGCCCTATCATCACTTTGGAAAACCTATATTATATATATATATATATATAGGTTTTTGGATTGAAGAAAAATTATCATGCCATTTTTAGGAAGAAAGTCTTTATCATGCATAAAGAAGGAAACTTTGATCGAGTAAAGATGGGCAATAATAATTATGTTAAAATTCTAAAAGTTAGTGATGTGTGTATAAACAAACACATAGATATATATATATATATACATTGACTTTGAAAGATGTGTTGTATGCATCGATTTATGCTTGAATCTGATTTTTACTCGTGCCTCAAACATTTTTGGATACTACAATTATTTTGATGGCAAAAGATAGAAACCTATCAAGAGATAAATGGTTGTTGTTAGAGGTAATACTTGCGATAAATTATACATGAAAAAAAGTGCAATTGATTAAATCTAAAAAGTTTTTAGTTAGATATAAAACTTCTATAAAGATGTGGTTGAGACAACAAACTCAAATGAATAAAAAAAAAGATTGGCAAGAAGGTCTTGTGTTATGTTAGCGAAAGAGATTACCAAATATGGGGAAATATTTAATGAAGAATATGAAATTAATATTGAGTCAATTGGTGACAATGATAATAATACGGATAAGGGGAATGTTAAGCAAGAGGAAGCAAGACCTTTTACTTTCAAAATATAAAGTATCATATGAGTAGCTCTACTAGTCAATATTAATCGTTTATAAAGAATTTCATTTCTAATAAAATCTTATTGATGAAGGAGAGGGAGCTAAACAATTTTTACAATATTCTAACTTATGAAAAGGGTTAGTATCTAAAATTTAATGATTGGTGATGTCATTAGCTTTGTGATGTAATAGAGAAATAGTTGGTGATGCTAAGAATGATTCTTCAAGATAAAAATTATGTTGATATATTGATAAAATTGATAGCATGCGAGAAGAATAGGTTATGTGCCACTATGGTTGGCATGAACTTTGGATGATTAATTGAGATTTTCTCCTTATGGATTGGGTTTAATGGTAAATTTTATTCTCATTCTATTGCGCTTTAGCAATTTTTTATCTATAGTATCAAATTGCGTAATTTGAATCCTAAATATTAGAGAATGCGCAAATGTGATCTAAATTGCTCAATCTTTCTTATGTGTAATGATCAACCGGGTTGACCATTACTTGGAATATCAAAACGAAGTCGTTTTGATATTTCACTATTAATTATGTTTAAAAAAACATTTTAAAAATACTTTTTAATCCACCGATCTTCAACTTCTTTCTTATAAAAATATTATATGCATTTTATGAATATTTTTGCCCCCTAATTTTGAACTTTATAGAAAAAAATTTTTATAAAATGTTATTGTAAAAAAAAATTAACAATACACAATTTTAGGCCTTAAAAATATTTTATAAATTAAAAATGAGCATAATTAAGGGTTGAACGCCCCTAATTTTATAAATTATATATAAAAAATTATTGATAAAATGTTTATAATATTTTATTAAAAAAATTTAAAAAATTCAAAAAAAAAAAGTTCAAAATAATCAAGATTAGAGGGTTAAATTTTTTTTTTTTTAATAATTAACGACAGAATGCCAAAATGACGTTGTTTTGGCATTTCAAGTAACGACCAACCTAGTTGACCATTACACATAACGAAAATTGGACAATCTGGATCACACTTGCTCAATCTTTAATATTTTAAGGTTCAAATTACGCAATTTGGTACTATAGACTCGAAATTAGACTCGAAATTGTCAAATCACAATAAAATGAAGGTAAAATTTATCATTAAATCTTATGGATTGGAAGGGGGAGATTATTTGAGTATATGTTATAGGTCCAATCTATTAGTGACTTTAGCATAACCCATTAAAAAATTATTTTTTAAAAAAAGATTAATTAGGAAAATGATTATTGTAAAACTAGAAAGGAAAAGTTTCTCTCTTTTGTTCCTTCTTTAACCAATGCATGCATATAAAAGAAAAAAAAATACCTTTCTTTTACGGACAATAGCTAAAAAGAGCAATTAGAGAGAAAAGAAAAAGAAAACAAGGGTTTTTCTTATTCTTTTGACGAATTTTATAGGCATAAAGTAAGGACTTTTGGTGTGTCAAATACTAAAATTTTCTCTAGCATTAATTTTTGGATATTACAATCATAAAGAATTATAGTGTTCAACACGTTAATCTCACACAATATTAGACTTTATGGAAACATAAAAATTTCATAGATTCTAAATTTTCTTGGTGACATGGATTTAGCTAGAGAGACAACTTGTATTACTCGTCAATATTTTTGCTTTTTAATTTCATAAAATAAAATAAAAATTAAAGCGATTGTATTGCTTTATTATTATTATTATTATTATGGTGGATTATTCAGAGTTAGTACTGTGACATATTCCTCTACAATAGAGAGGATTTTCCATGTAAATAGTGATTTATTTATTTTATGATCTTAATTCTTTCAAGTATTTAGTTTGAATATTTTTCATAAAATCTAATTTATATGAAGTGAGATTAAATTTTCAATATAAAGTCATTGCATATTCTAAATCAAAACTTATGATGATCAACCTGACGCATCTACTCTAGGCAAGGCCCCAATTTCTTACTAGACTCTAAATGGATTGCATCGATATGGTGATACATTCATAAAATTATTCGGAAAAAAAAATTAATTGATATATAAATTAATTTGTAAGTTATTTAAAGATACCTTTTACTATTGAATAAAAAAAATCCATACCAGACTCAGTAAAACATACACAGCATAAAAAGAGCAATCACAATGGACCAGATCCATTCGATTTCTTGTTTTAATAAAATGTTCCATTCATTTTTAAAATCCCATGTACATTTCAATCAATTGCATGGAAGAACGTATTTAAATAAGAAGTACAATACTCTTTTTCAACGTGTTTTTTTAGCAACCTTCCGCGTGGTTGACCTTTCATTTTGTTGTGATTGCAACGAAACGGTAGGTCTGGCTAGCTACAGGAATGGCGAAAAGAGAATGTGTTGAAATGGAAATTGCAAATAATATAAGTAAAAAATATTAATAAAAAGTTCTGAATGGGTATAAAATTCAAAATAGGAAATAAAAACTAGTTTTTATTCATTCTTCTATTATATGACAACCGTATGAACCTCATGACCAACTTCATGTGCACAAGGGGTTTGAATTGATTATTTTGAAGTCAAAAAAGGCCAAAAAAAAAAAAAACCTAACCTCTACCACTTAGTGGTATGTTACCACCACTATATAAGGGGTTAATCAAATCTCATTGTTCCAGTCATACTTCATTTCGGCATCCAACTCTACATCACAGCCATCTCCTTATCCATCTGTAAAAGTTAACATTCATTTTACAACTGTACTATCATGGACAAGAAACAAAGCCTCCTCCTCTTCATCTTCTTCTGCTTCTCTTTCCTTTTGCTTCTCCCAGGTACCTTAATATGGATATTATTTTTTAAGAACCCATTTTATAACTTTGACTTCAGAAATAACATGTTGGGTTTGGTTTTGCGCTATATATTTTCGTTGCAGAGAACACAAGGGTGTACGGGTCATCTTCTCACCACCACCACCACCACGGACATCACCATCTCTTCAATTTCAGACCAAGCAAACTCTTTGTATTTGGAGACTCGTACGCAGACACAGGCAATAACAGGAATTCTTTAGCAAATTCATGGAAAGTTCCCTATGGAGTCACATTTCCAGGCAAACCCGCCGGTCGTTTCTCAGATGGCCGCGTCTTGACTGATTTCCTTGGTAAGTGGTGTCTCTGGATTCCTCTGTCTAATGGTGTGTTTTAACCTTTTTGCTTTGCTTTCTTAGGTGGCTCCATGTAATCTGCTTTACTTTGCTTTTAACCTGTAGTTGTATTATTATATTTTTAGTGGTGGGGTTTCCCCCTTTCTTTTATCCTCATGTTGATCATTACAACCGATTGACTCTGCTACGTGTTTTGTTTTTAATCTGTAAGATGCTGCATTATTGGGTTCCGCTTTTCTTTTCATTTTTTCTTTTGGGTTATTTGTTTGCTATTTTATTAAACAGCAAGTTTCGGTATTTACTAGCTATTTCAAAAGCTTCTGAGATATTCCATTGCCTCAGCTCCAATCAAGCTCTACTTTACCCCACCACTGGCTTCTCATTCGTTTCTTTGTTGTTTATATATTTATTTATAATGATGTTTACGTTGTTGCAATTGTTGAAAACTTATTTAAGCTTTAGCACTCTTTAGAAGTTACAACGAATTTTTGTACCCATATGACAAGAGTGTACACTTAGCATTCTTTACAAGTTACAACGAGTTTTTGCAATTTTAAAAAAAAATTAGAAGAACAGTAGCTTCTAAATTGAAGATGGTCAGCATTGTTCAATGAATTTATACTAGAAGGATTAAGTGATTAGTTATGATAAACTACAAGGATTAAATTTAATATTAATTAATCAATAATCAGTAAACAACTTGGCATCATTCATTTGCCATCTTTCGTTTAGGTAACTACGCCATCTCATCAAACTCAAAAGTGGCTTTGAATTTAATATCATGGCTATTCCATCAACTTTATTTCTTAATGTTGTCGGGAAAGCAATTTTTGTTAATCAGACACCTCAACTTTTTCTTGCTTTTGTTCCTTTTCCTTTTCTTTCATCATGTATCGTATATATTATCCTATAAAACATGCAATGCTTAATGACTCAAAACACTTTATGACATTATATGTGGCATCTCTATGATATATGCAGCTAAGTCTCTTGGAATCAAGTCTCCTATCCCATACAGATGGAGAAATGTGGGGATCAAGCACTGGAAAAACGGAATGAATTTCGCATATGGAGGCACTGGGGTGTTTGATACCTTGGCTCCAGAACCAAACATGACCACTCAGATTGATTTTTTCCAAGATATCACCCATCAAAAAATCTACTCCATGTCGGACCTACAAGCCTCCTTGGCTCTTGTTTCCCTCGCTGGAAATGACTACTCTACTTACGCTACCACAAACGGCTCAGCAGAGGTAAGATCATGCATGCACTTCTCTTTTTTCTTTTTACTTCTATAATTTATTCTCGAGTACATTCATACACACGTATTTATACATGCTTGTACCATATATATAAATATATATAGAGAGAGCGAGAGAGATGAAAAGTATGTTTCTAAATCTGTTCTTTTTGTTTAAAAAGACGAAGCTAACGTGCGATTCCATTTTATAATTAATAGATGCTTTCAATACTAGAGGATAGAAATAATATGGGATCTTAATTAATTTCTTGTCGCTGTGGTAGGGTTGGAAACCTTTCATCACACAAGTAGTGAATCAAATTGTCGTGAACATGAAACGCATTCATGGCTTGGGAGTGAAGAAAGTAGCTGTCACTACCCTCCAACCTTTGGGGTGTCTTCCCCGCAGTACTTTTGCGTCCTCGTTCCAGCAATGCAATGGGACTGAAAACGAGCTCGTTGGTTTCCACAACCTCTTGCTGCAACAAGCTGTGGTAAAGTTGAACAATGAAACAAAGGATTCTACGTTTGTCATTCTTGATCTGTACAAGGCATTCATGAGTGTACTCAAAAACAAAGGAAAAAATCCAGGTTTGTTAATTTACTTTTTCAGTCATTAAATCTATTAATCAGTACATGGCAAACCTGATTAACTTATAAATTGGCTTTGCTCTACGATGTTATCTGATATTTTCTAGCTTCGCCCTTAACTGAAGTTTTTTTTTTTTCCCAGGAAGTTCAAAGTTCGAGAATCCGTTGAAGCCATGTTGCACTGGTATATCCACTGAATATAACTGTGGAAGCGTAGATGACAATGGAGCAAAAAAGTATACAGTTTGTGATGATCCTGAATCTGCATTTTTTTGGGACACAGTGCACCCTACGCAGGAGGGATGGCGAGCTGTGTATTCAGCTTTGCCTCAATAACTTAAATTGTATTAATCACCTGTAGAAAATGATATTTGTTATGTGAATTAGTTGTTCCTGTTATGCATTCCAAGAATATGATCTTTGTACCTACTTTTCTTTTCTTTTCTTTTTATTTCTTATTTTTTCAAGGATTACTGAACTACTAAAATAATAAATTTTGACTGTTATCGTGTTATATATATTTTTTTTAATTTATGTTGGGAGATGAATAGATTAAAGAAAAGTTCAAAGTTCTTAATCAATTGGATCTGTCCATGCGATGATAGAATATTAGATCCTGCGCCTACTTTGTCTTTGTCACCAAACAAATAGATTGATTTGAACACGGTTTTAAAAGATTGTATAATTCCCTCAAGTTATTTTGTAATAGCGAAATCCTAAGCTATAATAATCAACTTAAGTCGCATTTGCGTTTGGATTAAAGACAAGAGGGAAATGTTAAGACAATTGTTATTATTAAAACAAACCATAAGAAGTGAGAGTTTAACTCTTCTCTACTGTTCATTGTGACTCAGGTTAACTGTGGACACTACCGTTAATCTTTTGTAGCCGTTCATTGTTGGACCTTGCTGATCCTGACCGTCTTTCGTCCTTCTTTTATTGTCCATTGATCGTCCCACGTCCCTCATCCTCGCCGTCCTTCGCCTTTCTTTGCGTTCGTTCGCTTTTGTTCTTGTCCGTTGGTTTTGCGTCTCCTGAAATCATCGCCCTCCCGTCGTTTGGTTCGAGTAGTATTACAAAATTTTTCGTACATGAATTTTCGTTTGTTTTTTACGTGAAATAATTACTATATGTATACAATAATTACTCTTTCATGGTATAAAATTTCTCGTTGGGTTCATTGGCCGCAGCGCCTTATCCTCTATCTTTCCAGCTTGGTCGATTTCCGCCTCTTTATTGCTCCTCTATTTTCATTTTTTGCCACTCTCTTTGGCGATTTTGTTTCTCTTCCTTGTCAGAGTATTACATGCTCATGTCTCCTCTCTATTCCTTCTTTTTTTTTGTTCGTAAAATAAAATTTTACAGTTTTAAGGACCCACAATGGAGGAAAATTGGAGGACAGAATTGCAGAGTGAATTGTAGTTGTTGAACACGTTTCATGAAGTGACAAGTGCAACTTCAAATTTTCATCTCAAATAATTGAATTTCCCCAATAATTTCTATCAGTTTGCTTTATTTTTGCTAAACATAATATATTAAATGATTATTACAATTATTTTAAACTAAATTAGATTTTTGGAAAATATCATTTTTTATATTATTGATTAATCAATCAAGAAGTCTAAACTAATGATAACAACGAAAATATTACGTACATATTATATAGGTTTATATAAGAAATAAACAATATTAAGACAAAATACATACTTAGAAATTGTAAGTGAAAATCTTCTTCACTTATATCTCTTTCTCTCTCTCTTTCATGATGTGGTAGCTATAAAATAGGGTTCTTTGTATTGTATTCTCAATATAGAACCATACAGCAATTTTTCATAAGATAAGATAACAGTTTATAACTAGATTGATGTTCTAAACTAATCAGGACTAATTCTCTCAAAACACCAATTCCAAACATTTATCATAATTACAACCGTCATTGCTCTTGCTGCAAGTGTAATGATAGTTTGCTTTTTAGACTTCTGCAACACGAGCCGGCCTTCTTCTTAATAATCACATGCAATTCCTTTTGGAATTCATATTATTATAATTTTTTACTCTTCGTGTATTTCATACCAGTTTTTTATCTACAAAATCTTTCGTTGTGGAATCAATGACTCAATACTACTATTTACATACTATTAATTAAAAATAAATCAAGTGTAAAAAAAAAATTACTATTCACACAATATGAATTACAAATATGTTAAGTTAAATTTGAAAATTATATTTTATATGGGTATAATTTTGAACATTAAATTTTATCAATATTCATATTTTAAATACGGCTTTGGATAAAAAAAATTCTATAATAAAGAAAATGAGTATTAAGAAATAAATGAATTTGATATAATTTATAATTCATTTTTTAAAAGATTTATAACTATTAAGTTAGAAGAATTATAAATATAATATAAATTAATATATTAGAAAGTCCATAGTATAACAACTCTTAACATTACTAATCACATGATTAATGCGTAATGTCACCATGTCATAACGAACAAGTTTTTGTTCTGAAAGAGATTTTTGATTTAACGATTTGCGTCATTCAAGCGATTAGTCAATGAAAAAAGCTATCATCAATTTTTTCTGTGATCTGATTAACCATCTATATTTACCAATTTTAGGAAAATCTCACACTTTGATCAAATGAGTGGAATGTTCTTCTACATAAAATTGGATTTTGAGTTTGATAATACGGTTAGGTGTGAAGAAGCTTTTAACATACTTTCATTTAAAATTAGGAATAAAAAAAGAAAAAAGAAAATTGTTTCCTATTTATTGGACTTTTCCAACTTAAAATAAAACCCACTCTTGAAATTTGAAATTTTGGGCTTTCCTAGATAGTTTTTTCTTTTTAGATTTTTTTTTTTTTTGACATTTATTGTCATTGTTATTATTTTTGTTTCAAATTATCAGGCTTTTCTAATAATTTAGATTAATTAACTTTATTTTTGGCAAAACCATAGTATATTTTAACTACAATTATTATAATCATTTTCCACCAAATTAGATTTTTGCAAATTATCATTTTTCATATTGTGGATTAATTATTCAAGAAGTCTAAAGTAATGTTAACAATGAAATATTAAATAATGTTTTTCTTTTAATCATAAGTCTAACAAATTTAACCTTGATAAAAATATGCACGCCCACAAACAATACAGGTTTATAAAAGAAATGCACAACTATTAAGGCAAAACAAAGAGGCGCAGAGACAAAATTACCAAAACAAAAGTTTAGTGACCAAAAAATGACAGTTTGATTGAGATTAAGGATTGATCTGGACGTTTGACTCAAGTTGAATGACTGAATAGCATATTTGGCTTTTGAATTTCAGGGTTTTTTTTTTCGATTTAAAGCTTGAACAATTAAAGGGAAATGAGAGAAACACGAGGATACCATTTTATCCTTTGACATGTAGGCCCAACAAGTTAACTAACAAACTTCGTCAAGACGGACAAAAACAATATTAACATTATATTGTACATTTCACTGTTTTCACTGTTCATCAAGACTCGAAATAGTGACATTTTTGTAATTTTAAATCCATTTTCAGTCCTTTTGTATGCAAGTTTAGCCGAATATTGTACTTTGGTCCATGAGATTTTCAAACAATTTTCTTTTGGTTCAAACTTCATTTGTATCACAGTTTAGTCTTTGGTTGTGGAGAGGAAAAAGAAAACCCACAAAATGAGAGAAAAAGTCATAAAAAAACTCATTCCATCCACTTTGACTCTCGCTCTTTGCTTTAATTTTTTTTTCTTTAATTTCAAAGTTTGTTTATAGTGGTTGTATGGTTAGAAGAGGTAGATCGAAATTATAAAATATTTTGAGTTTTGTTTGAATTTGTGGATATGTTCGTGTGCGTTAAAATGAGTTTTAAAATTTTAAACGAGTGTGTGTTAAAATGAGTTTTGAAACTTTAACAAGTTTATTAACTTTATTTTTGTGATTTTGAGGTGTTTTAAAAAAACGTTATATTTGGCTTTTAAGAGACTCGTAAACTAGAAAATCATTTTTTTGATGACTTTTATGCTAAACTCGATTGGCCAAAAATTCTAGATAGACAACAGGTCGACTCGTTGTGCGAGTAAGCGAACGACGAGTGATGGACATCAAGGTGGTTTAGCAAGCTAAAATGATCCATTGACCAATTTTGGAGGACCTATGACTCGGGCTAGGGCTAAGAAGGTCAAAGAATCTTTGTCAAGTTTCATACAAGTCATTGGCTCAAGGGTGGTTCATAGAAAAGCATTTATGGTTCATAATGATCCAGCCATGGTCAACATGGTTCAAGCCATTACCAACCAAGTTGAAGCAATATGAAAATAAAGGGCTTAAAAGAATTCAGCCTTGTTTTGAACTTGTTGGGTCTTATTTATTTGGAACTTGCTTTATTTTATTTTATTGAGTCTTATTTCGTTAGGTCTTATTTGTTTATGCCTATTTTTATTTAGCTTATTATGTTTACATTAGTCTAGTTTCAATAATATTTGAGGTTAGGCCAAAATAAGCTATAAGTTTTGGGCTTAGATTCAAGCCTTCTTTATTATGTTCTAATTTATCTTATTATTTGTGTTAATTTAGGTAATCTAATTAAGAAGGGATAGCTATGCTTAATTCTAGCATTCAATGTTCCTTATAATGGTGGAGGTTATATTCATTATGGTGGAATTGTTACCTAATTGCATTATCATGGCAAGAGAAAGATACATAAGGGAGGTTACAAGAAAAGGAATATGGTTGTCATAATGATAAAGAGGTTACATAATGGAAGTTACAAAAGAGGCATTATTGATGTTATTTATGAATTGTATTTTCCTTTATTCCAAGGTTACCCTTGGCCTTTCATTATATAAAGGCAAGGCTTTATCATTTGTGGAGACAATATTCAAAATACAATTTCTATATGTTTTTCAAGTGAGAATTGTTTCTTTAAGCTATTGTTTGACATTTTAGAACTTATCAACTTTTGTTTGTGGTGTTCAAAATCTCAAACACCTAATAGCTATAGTCTTTATCTCATTATAGATAAAAGGTTATAGTTCTTATTCTTAAGGTCTTTAGATCAATATAGCTAAAAGATTTTAAGATTTTTTTTTTTTCCTTGAATCTTGATTGATAGATCCTAAACATAAAGGAATTGTTTTTAGGGTTTTTGAGTTGTTTAATCTTCATCTCTTTTGGATCAATATATCCATTGGGTTTAGAGTTGCAAATTCAAAGTTTCTAGTTCCAATTTCATATCATTTGGTATCGTAGTATAGGCTCAATCATAGATTCATCTATCTTTGATTGATTCTGCCATTTTTGTTTCCTAATTCTTGTTTTTT